CCCAATTCTCCATCACTAGGTAACACTCACCTCAATACTCCATCACTAGGGACCATCAACCCAATTCTCCATCACTAGGTAACACTCACCTCAGTTCTCCATCACTAGGTAACACTCACCTCAATTCTCCATCACTAGGTAACACTCACCTCAATTCTCCATCACTAGGTAAAACTCACCTCAATTCTCCATCACTAGGGACCATCACCCTAGTTCTCCATCACTAGTGACCATCACCCCAATTCTCCATCACTAGGGGACTATTCATTGCTAGGGACCTTCACACCTATTCTCCACTACTACGGATTTTCACCAGTGATGGAGGTTCGGTCTAATTGTCCCTAGTGATTGAAATTAGAGAAACATACAAGTAATATTATGACGATTTAAATCATACATAAAGTTATAAGGGCGGGCTTTTATAATGTATACCTTCTACATACAATGATATGCGATTAAGGATCCCTGTCCCATTGCAGACAACATTAGATAATTCCACTGTGGTTGTTCGTATATACAGTACCCCTCTCTTAACCACTGTAGCGCAATAGATCAGGGCACATCTGTTGACCAGGTCGGTAATTTGGTCTAAGCAGCAATAGATCAATCTGAGATCCAGAGTTTGAATCCTAGGCTAGCACTGCTAAATATTACACCAAGAACACTGTTGTTGATTTTGTTTTCCATCTTTATCATTTTTTCATAAAAGTTATGCAGGGAATATTTTTTCAGAGAAGATTTTTCAAAGTTCGAAGTCTTGCCGGAAAAACCGTTTACAATGCATATTTTTGGGCAGTGGTACGGGATTCCTTAAATGTATATTGAACACGATCAAATCTGTGTTTAATCTATCAATTATTTTAAGCCTATCCATGCTTGATTTATTTACAGAACATTCAGTGTTGTAGATTATCGTTAGGTTCCACTTGAAGTTAATAATGAAATTGGATGACAAAGCGACTATTTTTTAAACGGTGACGTTTGACAGTTATGTAAGGTAGTGACGCATAAAGGAGGCTATAAACGGAGTTATGTTGAAGGAACACAGTGTGAAATACTTTAGGAGTAGCAATGATAAAGGTTGATCGAGTTTAAACGTCGAGGTACATGTTATAATACGATATCAACCCGGTTTTAAATAGATAAGTTGTATTTATTTAAAAGGCAAGTTTGTTTGAAATAATAAATCCTGAATGTTTAAATGTACTTCTTTTATCAGATGTTAACATAATATGACATATGATATGAATATGATAATTGTATGATTATGGTTTTAGGTATACTAGTAGGTTATCTTGTATAAGTGTGACTCATAGATTTGTTTTCGATAGGTATCCTCGATATCCACGTGTTACGCTCACCTTCGCTCTCTACACAGGGCGATGTGAGCGTTACCCCTGGATATCGAGGATGATGCATTTATTTGAAATACTGTAACACATGTTGTAATTTTACGAAATTAATTAAAACTACAATAAAATACCAAGTAAGTCAATATGCTTCCAACATATGAATGACAAGTCCTTTTCCTTGCTGGTCTAGGTAATCAAGTATGGACGACAGACAGCTGCTACTGATGCTGGTCCTAGGTCTTCTGGCCTTGTACCTAGGCAATAGAATAATTGCCGGAAGCGGTCATTCCTACAGGGATCGAATCCTGACACTGGCCAAGTCAGACCGCGATCTGGTCACTCATAGCAAGGAGTTCAACGTCCCAGAAGTGATAAAGGTCAAGTAGTGTATTAAGTATGTAGTACAAGTTGCACTAGTATTTATTTAGACTTACATCCCTTCACATGTAGTAAAATGCTTTATATATAACGTGATCCCATTGATATAAAGGAATTGTGACTTCAAAGAAATGTTTACACAATTATCAGGGTCTGTAGTCTCTGATGCAGTAAGCAATTGATGCCAATCTTCTTTTCAATAAGATTAGTTGCAATACGTTAAATATAATATATTGCATATGTTTAAAAGTGTATGATATATGTTATATACATTGTATGTTTATTATAACATATCCGATTTGCTTATAAGACACAATTTTATCAGATGCCAGCTATACATAATATATCTCATAAGAAATAGAGTATCTTAAATACTTTTCTTTATAAGATATTCTTTATCATTAAGCAAATATTTTATACCTTTTATGAGCTATTTTATATATAAAAAATGATATTTCACGAAGAAAATCATACAGCATGTCCCCATTAAGAACGATTTCTCGCGAGACTGACAATTGATTTAATATTATAAAATTAATTATTGCTCCAGAAATAATCTCCAAGCTACCTATCGTTAATGAACTGTAACACTAAACTAAGCATGTAGATATAACATATGTCCTGAAACTAACACTCACTGCACAGAGCGAAAGTGAGCGTGACTCCGCGGAGTATCGAGGATGTGAAAGACTGCAAAGCATCTTGAATACTCTTTATCTTGCTATTGGCATCTGGAATATTCTATAACTGTTTTGGCGTATGGTCAAAAACTTTATTGCTAAAAGTGGCGTGCAGACACTTTTTTAGTTGACATAGCGTTCCGTTAACCTCACATTAGAGTACGGAATACAACCTAAATCGCCCGAAATACGGTGTCCGAAAAGAGGGTCAGTAGCCCTAATATTCCCGGTTGTTACGCATGCGTATACAAATAATACTGTTTAACATTGTTGGTCAATGGCGATAAAACATTGACCTCAATTTAGACATTGCCAGTGCATAAAGGGTATCTATTAAAGGGGCTGGTTGGGGGAAAAAATACAAAATAAATGGGTCTAAATGCGTTCTCTGGCCTTCCAAAAGTTATGCCACGGCAATATGATGGTCGAGTTTTGCTTGCAATATCCAGTTTTGACCACTGAAATATCGGGGTAGCCCCGCGTAAATTTAGCGCAGATCTTTTTATATATGTCACGTGGTTGTTTCGAAAGTGAGGCAGTGAAGATAACAACAATAGCACGCCGTCATGTGCTATGTCGGACTCAACTAGCGGACAAGACAGCAATACTATACGTAAATAATTGTTTCCAAAGGTCATGTATGATGCAAGTGTAGTATTCCCATCTATATGTTGTTGTTATATACAACGGTATTGATACCTCGTGCCTGTCATGACTTTTGCATGCATCTTTTTCTTTCGCCGCGATGTTTACATTTGGCCTTGTTGATGACGCGCGTTCGGTAAAATTACATCACTGATCTGGGTCAATTGAGAGTTTTAGACTGTCAGGTGACGATTTAGGATTTCTTAAATATAATTATATTTTTTACTCTTATGGAGTGAATTTCAGCAAAATTTGAATCGGTATATTTCATAAGAAGGTATTTTAAACATGTGTATGCCATTTTAGCAAATATGACATTTTTTCCCCGATCAGCCCCTTTAACATAATCTATGTTGTAAGGAAGAACGTATGCAAACGTTCCTTTATCTTATTGACCTAGTAAATATCTATGATGTACAATTCACTTCAAGTGGATGTCATTGTAGATTTAATGACTATGTCAGCTTACACATAATAATGTTATTTTTATGTATAAGTATTAATAAAACTTGTATTTCAGATATGTTGCCAATAGTATTAATGATACCACTGTGTTATCGTTAAAAGTAAAAAGCAAATAAGGACGTTATCTAAGTTGTCAAAGACAGTATTAAATGCCTTTTTAGAAATAAAATATGTTTCAAAATTGTAAACGATAAAGGTTAACTTGCCCATTTTGCTATAATTTTATATAATATTATTTTTCATATATTTCTCTAAAACTTGATAATTTCTACGTCATTATAAGCTACCATTTTAACACATTTTGGTTTCCTTTACAATACTCCTCATTTCAACACTTTTCAAGAAGATGTCCAACGTGTGAATGGTTAAGGATCGACGAGTTATAGAGGCAGATCACAAATTGTCACTTCAGGCTTTGGTTGATTAGACCTTAAAATTTTACAAAGATATTTTTATTCCAACAACAGGTCACTGAGGATGTGTATGTTGCCATTGGTTACGCATTGGCTAATTCTATACTGCTGGAGGGTCCGAATGGTTTGGTGGTCGTGGATGTGACGGAAAGTACCGAGTCAGCCTCCAAGATCATGACAGCCTTTCGGAACATCTCTGACAAACCCATCAAAGCCATCGTGTATACACACAACCACGCAGACCACATCATTGGAGCATCGGTAAGTTAATGACAAACAAACAAAACAAAAAAAAAAAACCGGCAAAGTCTATTGTTTTAGACATGATTCTTCCATGCAAAAATTAGGTCACACTAACGTCTACTTCTGGTCATCCTAGCATCCTAGCATCTCTGCACCCCTGGAATATGTCATAGCAAATTCGAAGGCGCAGTTTGCGACACCTTGATGACAAGACGTGAAGACTAGTTGATCCTTTGGTGTTCATCAAAATAATCTTGCGGTCACCTAACGGTAAAACTGACTGGCTCTGAAGTCGATTGTCGCTCTGCTGTAATCTTCAAAGGAAAGGTATCAGCCTAGCGATTGGTCAGTTTCTTTACCGGAGACCAATCAAACAGTTCTGCTGTTTGCTATGACATATTCCAAGGGTGCAAGGAACGTAAGTGAGCGTTACCCCTGGAGTATCGATGAGACTTTTGGTGTGTAGGTCCTTTATCGTTGTCCTGTAAAACTATATATCAATTTGACATATATAGGTCTCATAAGTAATAACGACAGTATGTGTAATATGGTTCTCACCAACGGACTTCTAAATATTTTAATTAGTATGATATAATTATTGTGTAACAAGGTTTCTGTAGTTGTATCATGCAGTATTTGATGAAAACTGTAAATCACACGACAGAGAGGTGGAAGACAACTGTCTACACTACAAGGTCTGCCCATATATACCGCATTGAACTGTCATCCTGCTACATATGCTCAGATATCTATTATTTTATGGGTAAAGGGGGACTCACTATGTGGCCATGGAACAGACAAAAGTCTATAAGCGCGATTAGTTTAAGTTAAGTTTATTTTCCGACATAGGATCTGTATGATTTTCTACACCGGACTTAAACTTTTGTTTAAAAAAAACATGTATGTACACATTTATGTATTTCTGAACCATCATTCCATTGTAAAGATTATGGTTATTTAGGAAAGTTAAAATATTGTGATGTACGAGGGGATGGACAGTTTCGATGTTCTTACCTCTCACCGTTTGCAGGTAAATTACGAAACAAAAAATATCAAAAATATCACAAGGTCATTAAGTAACGGAGTAAGAGATCAATTTTCAAATTTACAACGATGTGAATTTCGAGCATATATAAATCGAATAATTCTATTGTTTTGTGTTATCTTGGGTCGGATATCACTGAACATTTAATGCATGTTATCATTTATATCTTAGTCGTTTATAGAGGACAAAAACAACCCTCCCGATATCTGGGCCCATGAGAGGATCATAAAGGAGATGAAGAGATCATTTTCGACTGTGAATGGCGCCACGTTCACCAGAGCAATGAGACAGTTTGGAGTTTTGCTACCGGAATCGGTCAATGCAGGCATTGGGATTAAACTGAAGTATGGTGATCCAGCCAATAATTTTGGACTAGTCTATCCTAACAAATTCGTCTCCAAGGCTGTAACGGACGTAACAATGGCAGGTTAGTGGTATATAACATAGCTAGATAGGTAAAGATTGGTAACAAGAGACCGCAGCGTCAACACAAAAGAAAACAATTGAGCTTAATTTAGCCCGAGTTTCCTCTGGCCCTGACACCAGACGTAGATATTTTGACAGATAGATGTCTGGTTTCAGGGCCAGAGGAAACTCAGGCTTAGCTTAAATGCGTTGATAAAAGACTTAAAAAGGATGAAAAATCCCAAGAAAACAAATATTGAAAATGAAATCCAACCGTAGTTCGGTAATGACATATTTGTATATCAGGAAACTTTTCAGCGTTCAGCTTTCGACCTTCGCCGATAAAATTCCATCTTCGTCCAGTGTAAATTCCGCCTTTCACATTCAATAACTATTATGTTGTTCATAAATATTGGCAGTAGTGATGAATTCGCACTCAACACGGAGGGCGACAAAGGCGAAAGTTACACCATACAAACACCTCCCAGTATATAGTATTAACATGTGTTTTATCGACTTCTACAATTACATGGAAAAGCAATTTGTTTTCGATTTGCAATACGAGGAAGGAATTAAATGGGGACTAAGAGAGACGTACTGTTTCTTTAAATATATAAGCATTGTATGTGTTTACGTGACTTACATTCAACCAGATCGTTCTTAGTTTGGTGGTAATATTTGTATTAGCTAAGTAAGACTGCGTTCCTTTGTGTTTCTGTATGTATTAATAAATTGTATCTATACCATTCCCAGGTATCCCGGTACAGATAATTCACATTCCTGGGGAGACAGATGACCAGATAGGAGTCTGGATCGCCGACAGGAAAATCTTCTTGTGTGCTGACGATGTGTACCGAGCGTTTCCGAACTTGTACGCCATTCGAGGAACCCCGTCACGTGATCTCATGCAATGGGTAAATTCATTGGACATCATGATTGAGCTCGGACCCGAGTATCTTATACCGAGTCACACCCGACCACTCCAGGGCAAACGCTACATTAAGGAGACTCTGACCGCCTACCGGGACGCCATCCAATATATACACGACCAGACTGTACGTTACATTAACCAGGGTCTGACGAAAGAGGAGATCGTGGATCTGGTCAAACTTCCCCCACAATTGGCCGCCCATCCCTTCCTTCGGGAGTTCTATGGCACCGTAGCCTGGTCGGTAAAAGGAGTATTCACGTCATACATTGGCTGGTTTAGCGGCGACGCAGTCGATCTTGCGCCATTAACACCAAAGGTAAAAGCAGAGAAAATGGTTCGGTTGGTCGGCGCCAATAAACTAATGGACGCTGCCAAGGCTGCATATAAAGAGAAAGACTACCAGTGGGCTCTAGAACTCTCCTCGCACGTGCTTCGCGCGAATATAGACAATACGGAAGCACGAGACATTAAAATTGACGCTTTGTCGTCACTTGGTGCAAAACAGATTAGCGCAAATGGCAGAAATTATTACTTGACATCTGCCTTTGAGGAAGCTTCAGAAATCAATATAAAAGAAAAGAAAATCAAGATTAGAGAAAATGCAATAAAGGTAATTCCAGTCGCTCAAATTTTTAATGCACTTCCCGTCCGATTCAAACCAGAAGAGTGTTCTTCCATGTCAGAGCAGCTTTACTTCGAATTTACAGACATTGATCAACATGTTGTTATTACCATCCGTAATTCCATTGCCATAGTTACGGAAAGTCCTTCTAGTACGTATGACGTCAAAGTGTCATTGACGGAAACTGTGTTCAAAGAAATCATATCTAGTCGCACCAGGGCTTTGACAGCCTATGGGATAGGAGAACTCGTAGTTGAGGGCGGGTTAATGAAATTCAGGAATATTATGGGATGTTTTGAAAGGGACTAGTATTAATTTAGGACCAAAATGAAAATTGCAAGTGATAAACAACGTGATGGAAGTTAAATGAAAATTTCCTTAAAAATTTCCTATGATCAAAATACAGCAAGCTCAATTCTAAAATTTATTCAACAACTCTTTAATTTGATATATTAACAGCTCAAACCAGGTGAAGGGGACATACTCATTAGTTAAGGTTATAGTGCGGTACAACCTCACTACAAGGCAACGAGGAACTACAACAACGATATGGTGCTTTTCCGTCTTTGCGTATTGCAGAGTTATCTTCTCTTGTGAGCAGGGATTGATTGTTACGTCATTGGTTTGTGTGAGAAAATTACGTCGTTTTCTCAAAAATGTATGACGTTACTCTCACAAACAAATGACATAACAATCAATACCTGCTCACAAGAGAACATAACTCTGCAATAAGAAAAGACGGAATAAAGGACATTGGCTATATATCCATAGAGAATTATAGGCTAATTGAAAAATGTGATGGCACCAAGCGAGATGGCATATCAATCAAATGTCTGTGTTTGTTTTGTTAACTGATGAATGTGTGCGTCTATGTGATGTCTTATGTTGTACGTGTGTATACGTGTAATATCCTAAATAAGGAATGTTCACGTATATGTGATGTAGTTTATAATGACTGTGTGTGGTCATGTATGCTGTCTTCAGTACCCTGTTGTGTATTTATGATATGTTTAATAATGAATGCAATAAACTGTGATAACCTAATTAAAGTTTTAAAGAAAGCGCAACGTCTGTTCTAAATCTCTTTCAATCGTCGTCTCCAAAGGGAAATATACTTTTGCAGAGTACCGATTTATAAACATTTGTCAATGCCATGTCCATTTTTTCCAAATAGTGATTATTTAACGTGCATGTTCTCGAGTTTAACCTTGACAGCTCAACATTGAAACTTTGATATTAAGAACACAGAACATAAAAAACAGAATCGTTAACTATGGGCACGTGTATGTCTCCAGGTGTCGCGTTATAAGGAAGGACATTATGTTACACAGTATCACAGATTTCCATTTATATTTTCAAAATTTTACAAAATTATCCACCAAAAAGTCTGTATAATAGATTTTTTTCCCCAAAAAAATCTAGTCGGCAACTCACTTTATCATAATCTTGAGATAGAAACATTTATTTAGATATTATCTTTCACCTGTTCATCAACGTATAAATTTACATACATCTGGTCGTCTGTTCACCAAATTATTTACGTAAATATATTTGGTCGTCTGTTTATCAACATATCAACCTAGATTTATCCTGTCGTCTGCTCATTAACGTATTAAAAAGATTTTGCCGTCAGTTCACCAAATTAATAGCATGAATATATCTGTTTGTCTGTTCACAAACTTATTAACTTAACAGCATGTCGCCGTCTGTTTACCAACATATTAACGTGAATATATCCTGTCATCTGCTCACCAACGCATTAAAGAGATTTAGCCGCCTGTTCATCAACGTATTTAATAAATAAATTGTGTCATGTGCTTACCAGCGTATTAACTTAGACACATCCTGTCGTCTGCTCACGAATGTATTAAATGAATACATTTGCTGGGGAGTTGTAGGTTTGACAACAGAAGCATGGTGTATAGATGTTTCTTATTAATCAACTTGAGCCTTTTGATTCTTATGTGGTCAGCACGCATACAGAAGCATTAAAATATTGAAATGTCGATATTATTCAGTGGAAAAACACCAAAACATCTGATTTATCGTTAAGGAAAATGTGACATAAATGCTGCAAATGAGCACAATAATTACAAATAACCATAATATGCATTTGTACTTGCGCTTGTTGACCACCTCATTGGTTTTGACTTTGCTTGCCTCCCTTGCTTCATATAAAACAATTGAATGTTGGTGTGGGTTGGGTGTTCCACACTGGGGATTATCTGAGACAGAGTATATCAAACTCATGACGATAGATTATGAATACATCGTATCAAAGTATGACATTAGGAAGACCGAGCACATTTCATTATTAATAAAATAGACGTTGCTAGTATGAACGGAAGAGATACTTGCTCAAAACGACACCAATCCCCACTAACACAGAAAGAAACAAACAGACAAAATAATGATACTGCGAAAGGGTGGATGAGGTTAGCATGTGCCATCTTGATTGCTTAATCGCATTTATAGTAAATGCTTATTCTATTTCGTAATGGACAAAATTCTAAATAAAAAATAGCAACTGACTTGACAGGATGAGTCTTTTCCATTTCCTGCAACATAGTTTAACTAGTGTTATTAATTACGATTATCTACGCTTACCTAGACGGTAGTCTAGTGTAATCACGATCATCTGCCCATTCGCAGACAGTACAGAGCCGTCAAACAGTTATGTAAGTCAACGACGATCACAAACACCGATTCTTTGGTTAGGATAGATACTGAAATATCTAGCTAGAAACTTTTCCATGTCCTGATGAAGCTTTAATTTATAAAACAGTAGCTTGTTGATCAGCCTGAGGCATATAACCAAAATATTTAACATAAACAGGATTTGGGATAGCAAATCAAGTGTGACATAAATGCTCAATAAAGAGGATGGGCTAGTATGATGTTAACAGAGGAGAGGAACGATAACGATGGCGAAAATGAAGTCATAACGCGTATCTTAGAGTGCACCAAGTTTGGTTAAATAGAAACTGTCCCTGACCACTAGTGGAATGCCTGATGTGTCTAAAACAAAACAACTGTAATTCAAATAAACTTTGTCGTTACTTTATTCCTCGAGACACTCATTAATTATGACATTTCAGCTTTCTGTTTTAGTTTATCTTCAAAATTATTGTACCATAATTATCATTCAGAATAACTCTATAATTGATAAATATATAAAATGACTTCCTATCTATGTTATAAAAACGTCTCGTTATGCACCGTACCCTACCGTATCCCAGAAATCACACAGTTCCTGTTTCACGTTCACTAAAATGTTGTTACGGGGCGTGGCAAACCGCAGCGCGGAGAAATTGGTGGAGTTATTGTATTGCGGCCATTCCAGAGTAGGGGGCGTAACTCCACCTTTGTTCGGATTTCCAGATTTCACAAAATTAGACCAGTACTTGCCCAAGGCATCGGCCATAACTTTCTCATCCGCATTCAGGGTCATATTCTTAAAATCTGGCTGAAACATATACGGGATCTCTGACCCATGGCACACATGATTTTTACAGCATGTGAAATTCGGGCCCCAACCATCGAATGAGAACGCGTGGTCGAAAACATAATTAAAGATGGCATTTTTGTTCTGGTTTATTGCAACTCTTGAGAAATTTCGCTTTGCGCAGCTAAAGATGAAGTCAGTGCTTACATGTTGTAAATCGTCCCTCTCGTCTTTTACGTGGACGGGAGGGTACATCTGCAGTACTTGGGTTATATGATTAGGTCCGAATGTTCCGATAAGTGCTGCAGTATACAAGGGCACCGTCAGGTTTTTCTTCCAAGCTTCGTATATGTATATTCGAGTCTCCTCGGAAGTTGTACCTATCAGTATTGGTACATCTGCTATGATGCCGTGATTCATCGCCTCTAGTGGCTGATATGGAACGACAGACCCGTCGACGAAAGGTCCTAGAGGCTCAAAGAAGTCTAGAAGTTTTATGGATGTTGGGTCTGAGCGGATTGTATGTTGAGCTGTTGCTATGTCATCCGCCGACTTGGTCGCCATGCAGTTTATATCACCCCGCGAACAGCCAAGATTGTCTGCCAGTAAGTCACCGAGGTACAGGGCCTCTACACGGGTCTTGTAGGGGATGGAAAACGGAGAGCTTTCAAGGATCACACTCCGAAAGTACTTGGAGCTGGCAGGTGTCATCATGTGGATAACTGCCGATTGTGCGCCTGCGCTCTGCCCACTTAAAGTCATCTCATATCAACAGAAACAAAAATGGGTATCAGCACTTTGTACTTTTGACATAGACTCACGTTATTGAATTCATATGATACCAGTTATATTTTTGATATTAATCATATCCATAATGATGTTGTGATCGATAATTGATATATTTAAAAACGGTCATGTCATTGGACAATGAGGACTGAAATATACTCATTGTCTGCAGGTACCTTGTCGGGATCGCCACCGAAGTCCCGGATGTTGTCCTTGACCCATTTGAGCGCCATGCGCTGGTCCAGTATGCCATAGTTGCCCTTGGCCCCTGCCGCCGTGTTTGATGTAGCGGTTACTAGGAACCCCAGAGCACCTGTATGCATAGTAAATAAAAAAAATCAGACTCTGCCAAAGTAATCAACTTGATCATCGTCATTGAACGAATAATATGGAAACCACACGATGAGTATGCTTTACACTGCAAATACAAAAGTTTCACTTGTTCCTATCTATACATAAAACAGTATATTCATGAACGAAACCGAGACAGAAGAAAAGGAATGAAAGCCTAACCAAATGCAAAGACTGGGAAACTTTACCCTTCGTGAAGGGGACATCTCAGGCTTTTGCCAGAGTGATGAGGAAACACCATTTCAGCACCTCGATGAGACCACTCAGACAGTTACTGGTGCACCCCAAAGACAAGACTGACATTTTAGACAAAACAGGAGTTGTATACCAAATTCCGTGCAAAAATTGTCAGCAGTAATATAAAATTGAACCTGGGAGGAAATTTGGTACACGACTGATGGAACATCAAAAGGACGTAGAGAAATTTGGTACACGACTGAGGGAACGTCAAAAGGACGTAGAGAAATTGGTACACGACTGAGGGAACATCAAAAGGACGTAGAGAAATTTGGTCCATGACTGATGGAACATCAAAAGGACGTAGAGAAATTTGGTACACGACTGAGGGAACGTCAAAAGGACGTAGAGAAATTGGTACACGACTGAGGGAACATCAAAAGGACGTAGAGAAATTTGGTACACGACTGAGGGATCATCAACAGGATGTAGTGAAATTTGCTACACGACTGAGGGAACATCAACAGGACGTAGAGAAAATGAGCAACATCACATTGACCAGATCCACACGCAAAACATCCACCAACCAGTACAATCAATCGGCATTAACAGATCACGCTTACACCCAAAATCACATCGTCGATTTGAACAATGCCAAAATAGTTTAAAAGGGAACAACACACAAAAACGAGACAAATCAAAGAAGCTATCAAAATCAGAAAACTCAGAACATGAACAGAGACTAGGGTGGATAGCAGCTGAGTCATCTGTATAACCCAACAGGGGCGGGGGCTAGATCTACACCTTACCTGTAACCTATCTGATGCAGTTTGTATAAGATCCCTATCGATAGGCGAGTGACATACACAATATACAATTTCGTCACATCGTTGTACAGGTAAACAATACAAATCACTCACTTAGTCATAGCTTGACAAAGGGACCAGTCGGTCTAGAAACGTTGCGACACGTTTAATACGTACATTGTTTGTGATATCACATATTTCCAAACTGATGAATCTTATTGAAGATTTTATTGTACGTTGTATTGGCTTGTCTTACATAGTTAGAGTATTTTGATAACTTTATTACGCTAATCTAAAAGATGTCCTTAACTAGCATGTAATCTGTTGTAATTATAGCGATTATATCACCCCACCTTAATCAGTATATGATGTAGTGTTTAAACACTAATTATGGTGCCATTTCCTAACTTGCAGTGAAGTGCGATGGCGATAACCTGCCTTTACCTTACGGTAGTCTAGTGTAATCACGATACTATGCTCTAACGTAGGCTGTAGTTTAACTAGTGTTATTAATTACGATTATCTACCCTTACCTAGACGGTAGTCTAGTGTAATCACGATCATCTGCCCATTCGCAGACAGTACAGAGCCGTCAAACAGCACAGCGTTAGAACTCATGTGGACAAAGTTACCACCGTGGAGGTAGACGAGAACGGGAAGGTTTGGGGAAGAGCTGTTGGCCGTAACTGGTGCAAACACGTTCAGGTACAGGCAGTCCTCAGATACCTGGAGAAAGAGCGTAAACAAAGTTACAAAAATCAACAAACGTGATACATCACTCATACTCAGATAATAAGATAAAAGACTTTATGTGGAATATGAAATTATGATTCCTCTTGTAAACTTCTATACAGCATTTCTTCAACAAAACAACCCCCTTAACATGTTAAAGGATGTAGTATACTCAGAGTACATCTGTTATGAGAAGCTTTTGTGATACTTAATTTTCCATGGCACACTATGTCATAAGGCATCTGTCTCGTGATACTATGGTCGATATGTGATCGTTAGAGCCATCATACCTCAGTTGGACATACGAAAGCTGGGTTCATGTCAAAACATCCTTTCTGTGGACATCCAGGCTTTAATTTGGTTGCGTCGTACATGGCTGGTGACCATGGCGACCGCCCTACTGGATCCGCCCATCTGTGCAACGATGGAAAAGTATTTAATTTAAATGGACTAATACATTATTTGATCTTGTGGGCAGTTTTAACTTATAAGTCACATTATGACTTAGATTTTTTCCAATCCTTCTAATGACATTCAATTGTTTGGTCAAGCTATCTTCGGGATTAGATTTATTTTTGTTTGTAGCAATTATGTGGTTCGTCTACAGTATGAAAGCTTACATTGTTAATTCCATTGCAAAGATAACTTAAACCAAACATGTAAGACAAGTAAAGACAAGGTATGAGGTCACACTTATAGGTAACATTCTACAGCCTGCAGGCAGGTACATTAAATTTATGAACTGATTTATTAAGGTCTTATTTTATTATACACAAATGTGATAAAAAAAATTATTATGAAATTTTGAAATACATAGTATACAATCATTTTATACTTTCGGAACCACCATCTCTTAATACATACAGAGGACATTTAATGGTTTTCCATTGAACATCAAACACGCTTCCCGAGTTTGGCAGAATATTGATAAATTTTTGGTAAACTGAAAATAAGTTTTTATGTAAAGAAACGCGGATGGTACTTTTTAACATAACTTTATCGATTATTTGTAACTTGAAACAATATTATTTTGATGCAATCACTAGATACTATGCATTTCATTTTTTGTTAAACTGATCTTATTCTTAGATAAATACAATGGTTTGTTTTTGTTTTTGTTACGGGGGAGAGTGTGCAAAGTGATTATTCGCATAACTCTGTACAACTAAAGATAGTATACAGTATAAATATGTCTATTTTCGTGACTTATTCTTCTACCAACTCCGAGAAATGTCCATTAAACGTCCTCAATATTAGTTTGCGGTATGTCATACTTAGGGCAAAATATGTTAACACCTACCTTAAGTTGCCGGTAGGTGGTTCAGCGTATGGTACACCGAGGAACTTGAGATTACTTTCCGTTTTCACACCTGTCAGTTTACCAAGCTTCGTCTGTATTACAACATTGGTATCGGCGCTGATCACCCCGACCATGAACATCACTACAATTATGTAGATTTCCATTTTGGTCAGTGAAGGAAAGTAACTCATTATTCATATGTCATCTACTTGTAAATTGTAACGCAGGATCAAACTCCGTACCTAAACATACCCGACCTTTATCTTTCACATGTGACTGTCAGTGTAAACAATGTTTATCTACCCTCTATATGTTATGTACTATTGTTCTAGTACAAACAAAACCAGTGAAGATAACTAAATCCTTCACTCTAATACGCTGCACATATCTTTCTCATCTCATCTTTCCTTTTATAAATTAATTTTGAGATGTGTTGGGCAAATCAACTGCAATTTTCCATGTTGAAAATAATCCTTAAACATCGGAATCAAGTATTTCATTATTTAGTCAAACGTTAAAATCAACTGGTCTAGGAGTTTACATTGTCCCATTCGTTCATGCTTTATCTTGAGACATGTGCAGTTTTTCATAAAATCCAGCAACAGGTTTTAAGTAAAATATAATTATTGTAAAATGTATTACGTATGCCTTGTTCAATGCTATCATGTATTATATATCAATATGCGCTGTATTAGAGGAAAATTATAACTTGTGCCCAATCCTCTGCTCAAATTTGGGGCAATATATATGTTTAAATCAACTTAGATTGTTAAACGACCCCCTAAGCAGACAAAGATTTGAACTAATATATCATGTTATCCTTACGACTACTTAATTCCTTTATGTGTGTCCATTACAGGCCTAGGTTTGTGATCATTAATACGGCGAATACTTATATTTGACACATATTCGTATTTATTGTGATCTGGGAGAGGTATTTGAATTTGTTTATTTCCATCATAATCCGATGTTAGATCTGTCCCTATTTCATAAACGAATAACTCCGACCGTTTGGAATGTTATCAACGAGAGTGGCTCTGGAAAGACCTTTTACATCTCCATAGTTCAGGTTCATATGACAGTGTTGTTGATTTCATACCATCATTAGTTTCAGACAAGGGGATACAATCATAGTTACCCGCTCTCAATATGGTATGTAAAATGACACGAGATGATCCATTAACAGATATCCCTACCAAGAATGACTCTGTCTATGGTTTAAATGGCAGGACAACAGTACTGGTTGTTGTACTACTCATCCGGATGTTTTACTTAATGACTCATAGCGGGTTCAATAATGGTGTACTGTATGGAACCACCAGAAGGGATTCATATATGTATGGAATCATTGTGAATCATACATGACAATAGGACCATCTCTTTATAAAGCTTACTTAGATAGAACAACTTCTATATTTTCATTTTCCCGTTTGTGTATTATGTTTATTTGTGAACTAGGTATGACAGTATTGCGGTTAAGGAAGCATTGCTTTGTATCATTTGATACACATTTGGTTTAGCGCTATAAGTCTAATGGTATTAATCTGATGTAATACGTCTGCTATCATATCTATTGTTATTGTGACTAATGTTTTTATGCATGTGATTGTCTGGTGCTATTTTTGTCTTAAGTTATTATGTCTTTAACTATATTCAGAGTAAACGTATGGATTGTACATGATTGAAGCCAGTGCCAAGCAATTACTTTGTGAAAAAATAATAACTCCTGTTCGCAGTTATGTCTGTATTAATTTCCGTTTATTTCATTTTGGGGACAAGGTTTTACAGCATTAGTGTTTTTAACTCTATCAGGTTGTCTGTCAAAGTGGTTTCTTGATATATAAGAGACAACTAAATTATTCAATTAAGTAAAGCACTTTGATTTCATAAACGTCAGTCATGGAAATTGAACACACACAGGTGATCATTGCACATTCAAAACTTAGTAATAGATACAGTGTGCAAACATGAAATTTACTGTACCATACAGCTGGTCAGTCTTTAGAGGACTTATCAGTACCGCTAAACAGTTGAAAATCCTAATTCAGCGACTACTGTTGGAACAAAAGAGGCATTAAGACCATACGCGCGCTTCTATCCGGGCCAACAAAAGTGATTAATATAAGTTGAAATAACTTGTTTTATAATTGTTGTAAAATTAATAAGTTTATATTTTAAACAAAAAGAAGTGGTGCGTAAAAAAACCTTATGTATGAATTTCAAAATGTAGAGGAGTACTGATTAATATTCAGTTGTTGTTATATTTTAACCACATGTTTATATCATTCAATTTGCGTTCTATTGGCAATAATTCTTGAATAAAATAATTTCTCAAGCTAAATTGGAATTTTTAGCATGACGTTTTCCAATTTCATATCGAAAGAAACATAACAAAAATCTAATAATGATGACCCGATCTTAGTATAATATAAGCATATGACTAAAAGTCTATTGTCCTAATGGTGACGTCGTAATTTAACATCCTCAGACGGCAAACATGAATATCATATTAGACTATTTACATGTGACAATGGTATGATATTAGAACATACACTGTATAAAACGGGTTTTTCATCAGAAAACATAATATTTAACCAACACAATAGTGTTTACAATAACACAATACCATATTTTAAAGCCATCTTTCAATGCATACAACATAATACATACAGTGGATTGTTAGAAAATCATACACCTCATATGACATACATTAGGCCATTATTTGACACACATACATGCATGCAAGTATTCATCCGCCCATTCATAAACAAAACTGTAAGGCGAAGTCTGTATAAATTGTCTCGAGAATTTCTGAATGAGATGTGTATTTTAACACGTCACAAAAGAATGCGGGAATCTCATCCATTAATAGAACCAGATAATACTATCATATGTAATGACTATATCACTTGTCTAAAACTTCCTGAATTATTTTCTTTGTGGAAATTTGCATGCCTTGTCTTAATTGACTGTGTAGTATGTTTATATTTTCCACCTGAATGGCTCTCAGTCAAATCATTGCCAGCTTAATATTTCATCATACATTCCGTAGTGACACGCCTTTTATACACCTACAGCCAATAGCGTGTTGGCACTATGCCACACTATAAATAGATTAAACACTATTATATATTTGGCACTCTACCACATTATATATAACTTAAGTACTACTATATACAGTATATCGTTGGGGTAGGATCAGTGTACCTACAAAATGATACAGTTTAGTGTGTCGGCACTATATGCCGCTTATATATATAGCTTAACCACTGTTATATATACAGTATATGTAACGTGTGTAGAGTGCACGTACGGAAACATAAAGTACAAATTAGTGGATAATGTGCTCTCTTTGATCTTCTGTTTATAACCTGTAATAGGACAGAAACCATGTAAAAAATTACAAAACTGTATTTATCAAACACTTAAAAGTCTATTACTGTTTCTTTTTGTTAATGTAAGACAAGATGCAGAGAATCACTGGGTTCATAAACAAGAAAGAACACAATATACTCACACAACTAATACTGTGCACACAAGTACACACATTATACTGGGGTTACATGTATTGTGTCATTAGTAAACACACATCGTGCTAATTGTAACGGGGGCTATTACCAAATTCCCCAAATCGAACCCCGGAGTGGCAAATGATGCTAAAGGAAGTCACTATAATGTGAGTAACGGCATAATACCCCTACAAACAAAAAATTATATAAATCAGTCAATATGTCAAGTTTGACCAATCAGAGGCCACGGCTGCCATCTTGGATGCGCAGCTGCAAAAAGCTGCACATCTAAGCATCCGCTCCGTTTCACCTGTCAAATTTCATCGGACCCTACATTTTGTTTCTGACAAAAAAAGTGCGAACAAAATCACGACGGAAGAAGAGTAAGAAGAAAGAGAAGCAGAAGAAGAGGAAGAAGAAGAAGAAGAGGAAGAAAATAAGATTAAACATCAAGTCCCCAATCCATGTTTTGGGACTTAATAAAACCTTTAATAAACAGGATATGTAATTCGTGTATGTCTGATCAATGTATAACTTCAACTAAATACATATTACATTTGTACATTGACACTACATCTCCTCTTGCCTTGTTAAATCAAAACAGCTTTGTTACAGATACTCTGTTGGTCCTGTTATTTTTTCTATGTATTATCTTCACAGCATGAAGGCTTGTTTAAGTAGTTGATTTTAAGATTGTCTCTAATCATGATAAATGTATCTGTATACGTTATTCGCCAAGCCCGTTAAAATCGTTGACGCACAAGGATTAACTATTTCGGACCATGCACAACTTTCTCTCCTTATCGCCCCAGCATGTGAGAATACAAAGACATCTGTGAGCATGGACATTAAGTGACGTGTTTAGCATGCTAGGGTTGATAGATAATTCCTTTTACACATATTTCCCCTGGTTTCAGATTAAATCTTGACGTATCCTGCTTATTGGTAATTCAATTAAACTATCCGCTGTTCTAAGGGTTAATAGGTTCTTGGTAATTACTGTATATAACTTTTAATGACAAACCTAACCATGGGTTCATTCAAGTTTAGATTACAAAAGTAGGTTATAGAAAACTTTGGTAATGTAATAAGATAAAATAACGAGCTGAAATTTAAAAAGGGACAATAACAATATCGCCTTTATTTAGATTGTAATTTCTATAAAACATTTCCTTGTTAAACATCGTGTTTGGAATGTCAGGAGGAGTGCTCTAGAGGTGTTATCACAGGACTTCCTTCTTCCTCTTATGCCACTAACGGGCCAATATATCTAAAGGCAAGTTTATATTCTTCTCGATTAGAGAAGTAAGAACAAAACACAAAACCCTTAACAAAGTGTATAATCAACTAACAATCGTACATCAGAAATACTTCCAAAAAATTGAGAAAATACACTGCGCTTCTATAGAAATTATAGTTACCCCCGAAAACCTACTTAAAGACTTTAGCTTTTTTTTATATATTTTTATTTCTCTTGTAGTTGGAATAATCATGACATAACGATTCCCAACTATACTACAGATATGTGAACTGAATGGTAAGTATTCTACATATACAAATTAGGCGCAATAGTAGTCCTCTAAAGTTCATTTAAAGTTACTTTGACCGACAGACCAATGTGTCGATGTGGTTATCCATTAAAAAATGCTTAGAATTTGATAATTCAACGTCCTTCTTAAAATCAGATTTCAATTCTATACAATGATTTAAATCTATGGAACTTACAAGAAACTATCGATAGTATTGGGAAATG